CGTCAGGCACAAGCCTAGCTATGAGTTCTGACACCTTATCTCGTTGAGTGCGGCATGGTGCCCGAACACCATCGCCTCCTCTCCAGTGTGGGATGGGAACGAATCACAGATCCTTCCTGAATATTCCGCACTCGCCCCGCGCCAAATTCTACCGTCGTATCCAATCGCAAAGGCCACGCGTTGGGAGAGAGTGGTGGTGAACGTTCCAAAACCGTGCGTAGCAGGATTTAATTCTTCCAACCCTATCACTTGCAGTTATGTCTCGGGCATATCTAAACATAGCATATCAGGATAGAAACAACCGAGACGGCATCTCGAACTGCATGCTTTATCATGAGACTGTGAGCTTGATGGCGTTTCGAGTTGCATGTGGTAACGAGCAAGGATATGTTGACCTTCACACACAGCCAAGCCTCTTTTGAGGAGATTCGCAGTGAAGAGCAACTAATCAGTAGAGCACGTGTTTCCTGCTTGCTGGGCTTTCCCGCCAAACTTGCTCGATACAGAGTCTTACTTATTGCCCCAACCTCCATTCCCTATTCTGCTTTGCAAGTGAGCATCCATGGACCGCCCCGAAATCGAGAGGCAGTGAGATTGGTCAACGACCAACAAATTTTACTAAGGAAAAGAGCCCTACGAGGAGAATTGCGGAAAAGGCCTGTCCTCAGCTGAGGCTCTACGTCAACGATGGAATCTGTGTGTAGTATGTGAACCGTTGGCTCTACCTATATACGTACGCACACCCTCGCGAAACCGAGCTCCCTACTCCGGAAAGCAGATGGCTACCTTGGTCTCCATCTTAGCATTGAAGCGTTCATAGTATTCTGACGCATCTTCAATGCCAATGACTGCGCTGATGACGAAGCTGGGGTGCGCTTTGCCGCTGTTGATGAGGTCGATCAACTGAGGGGCGTACTGCTTCGGGTCAACTGCTCCCGCTCGAAAGCTCAAGCTCTTGGCAAAGAAGGTCGAGGCGGAAAAGGGGATGGTGGGCGAGATGATGCTGCCGTACGGTGCACCAGGAGAACTTTCCTGAGACTGATACACACCCAACTGACCGATGCCTCCTC